CTAGGAATTGACCTTGAGAAGCATGCATAAATGGAATGGATAAAAACCATTGCATATATGCAGTACTATGAACATAGTTACCGTTAACCATGTTACCTCGTAGGGTCAATTTTTCCCCCTGTTTTTCCACTCGTTATTCTCTTCTCTATTTATATTGCGCCAATGATCTCCCCATGTATTGGGCATTTCAGTTTCATGTTGTTCACGTAGACATCTAGGCTGAGAAGGGATATCTAGTTAAAATTCAAATTGCAATTTTACCCTATCAGCCTGATGCATTTCAACAATATGAAAACTGATAATTGAAGTTGTAGCGCTCAAAATCTAGCTATTTGCAAGGACGCATTCTGGGTAGCTTGGGTAGGGCTTCCAAATAAACTGTTACAAAAAATATAATAGTTAGAGTTTAAATACATATGTTAGCATATATTTAGAGAATGTAGCGCTAACAAACTTACATCGTTAGCCCTCAATCTATCTAGTGCAAATATAAATCCTCGGCGTCCGAGGATTATTTTGGTAAGCCATGCCTCTTCGAACAAATCTTGCAATGTTAAAAGAAAGAAATATAATATAGCGATGTAAAAAAAAGAAAAGAAACGAAAAAGAAAATGTAAATAATTTTTACCTTGTTGCATAAGGATGGTGTGAATCGACGGAACTCTCTGGAGCTATTAGTGGTATATGCCAATATGTCCAAACACTTAGAAGTAGAATGCACCACCAATACTTTTGACCCCTACCATACATGATTTACACATATGCCTATATAATGTAGCTAAACAAGCAGAACCCCAACTATATCTATTGCATTTATCTAAATCTCCTACTAGGGGTATCCAAGAAGAATGTAAATAGTTATGGCTCTTGTTTGACATTAATACTTTAGCTATGAGTAGTAAAATATATATTTTTTCATGGAGAATTTTATCCTCATCGGATGGTGTTGGGTTTTTCCGTAATTGTGCTAATATAGTTTATAGCCAAACAATTTTAACACAGACTTTATGTTTATCAGATGTTGAAGGTTCGATACCTAAATTTTCCATATATACATCACCGCCTACCTGAGTAGGACCATTCACAACCTTACCATTCACACGAAGACCTAATAACGTACTTACATCCTCCAAAGTGATGGTACATTCACCTGTTGGAAGATGGAAAGTATGTGTTTCTGGTCTCCACCTCTCCAACATAGCGATTACAAGCTTTGAATCAACTTTGATTGAGGTGATTTCTGCAACTTTTGCGAAACCTGCTCGTTTCAAATACGGTTTGATTGCGTCACTTGGTGCATCGATAGCATGAAAATGTAGTCTAAATCTCTCTCTGTCGGACTGTTTCAAATATTGAAAAATAAATACAAACTTGATGATGTAATATTAAACACAAGCGTGAAGAAAAAAAACTTACATATGCGACAACATTGGTCGGTGTTCCCCGATGATTTTCTCCCATCCACAACATTGCCATTTAGAAGTATTGATTTAGAATGTTATTTTTTTCAATGCATACGAATAAAAGCTTCTTGCTATTTATAAGAAAAAGAGATGCACCCTAATACTACATGAGACATACAATTGTTCGTTGGAAAACTACATGCCTAATACTACACTGCACCCTATTATGATTCCTCTGCACCCTAATACCTAACTGCACCCTATTATGATTCCTCTGCACCCTAATTCTTCCATCTACAACCTAACTCTACTATATGCACCCTATGCCATGCAAGGACACATGGTCAGCATGCAATTTTCCTCTTCAATGGTTCACCCTTTGGATGGCCGAACCTATGCACGTGCTTCATGGGCTCGTCCTTTGGACGGATGACCTTAAACGTGGGAGGCAAGGGCTCGTCCTTTGGATGGACGACCCTACACATGGTCAGCATGCAGCCATCCTTTGGATGGATGACCCTACACGTGGTCAGCATGCATAAATGAACTATATATTTTACATGCATTATTGTTCACATTCTCACTTACGTTCATACCCTCAACAACATTATTGTCCACACTCTCACTTACATTCATACCCTCAACAACATTATTGTTCACACCCTCACCATCAGTACCTACATTCATATCCTTTATGACTTCTTCATAAAGATCTTCAAGGATGGATTCTACCTCTGGATTAATCATATTTAATGGTTCTTCATCAATGGCTTCTTCCTCCATCATGTTTATAGGATTTTCAACATATTCTGGTTAAGATAACGGGTGTTCTATGTAAATGTCAACTTTCAAATGTACCCTACAGAGGTCAGCTACATTTAACATACCCTTATCATCCTTAAAAACATTCATTTCAAATGTGGGGTCATTGTAATATATAGTGTCTACCTCAGTATGACCTAGATCTTTCACAACACCAACCAATTCAAAGTATGACCACCTATCCACATCTATCTCTAAATCATTACATTTACCGCCCACATAATTGGTTTTTTTAGAGTCCACAAACTCACCACTATGATGAATTTTCAAACATAAAATTTCTTTCATTTCTACCTAAGACAATAAAATGCAACATTACAAACAATAAAGCGCAACATTACAAACAAGAAAACGCAACATTACATACAAGATAACGTAACATAATAGCAGATTTCAAAAGGAAAAAAAAAAACCTAGACACCTAGTCAGTTCAAGAAAACGCAACATTTACACACATTTAGATTAGACAAGGACGTGTAAACTAACCGTCATCTATGTTGCGTCTCCGTCTTCCTCGGCTTGCTTCTTCTCTCTTCGTGCTCTTCATCTTCCTCAGCTTGCTTCTTCTCTCTTCGTGTTCTCTTAGAGCTTTCTATTTCAATACGTGTTTTAATCAATAAAACTGATAATATTATGCTACTTCAGATGACACCTCAGCAAGGTCAATACCCATGCCACATAACCAAACAATTCATTACACCTCAGCAATAACTTAACACGTCAGCTAAGTTTTTGATAATAATCTAACATTTCTAACAGTCAGGACTAACATGATACCATTTTAATAACGTAAAGGATCAATTGAACTTTTTTAAAAGAGGATCAAAATAGACCCCGAGTCATAGGTAGAGGACCAAAAATGATATTAAACCTAAAACAAAATTAGTTCAATTAAAAGTGTAGTCACAAAAATGGGCCTTGAATAGTGTGCTGCAAATTACTAATCCCATTAAACAAAACAAAAAACTTTAATCCATTCCTAATCAAAGTTCCAACAATGTTTGACATCGGACTCATCGAACGGTTCAACGTTTTTCCATACTATATATCCATTTTTGTTTCTTTGTTTGTTTGTTTGGGGAAATACACAACCAAACAAGCCCTTATCACAATTCTATCTATCACAGGCCCAATTCATAGCTACCTCTTTTTTTCTCATACTCTCTCATTCTCAACTTGTGATTATCCAACACTAGTTTTTTTTCTCTTCGGCCATTTCTTTCGGTACACTCTCTCTCTTTCTCTCTCCTCGTTTTTTTTCTTTCATTAGCAAATAGAATAGAGAATTCACATGCCCCAGTTGTTCGATCCTTTTGAACTTGCAATTTCATATACAAAAGTTCAAATCTTTCAAGGTGGGGTATCTGAATTTTGATTTTGGGTCAGCTCGATATGATGTTACTTTAATTCTAAATTCCAGTTCGAACCTGGGTCGTTGAAATTTTGTGATTTTTTTGCTATAATTATGATTATTTTAATTGTTATATGTTGTTTTGTAGTATGCTTTATTCCTGGGAAATTGATAGAGAAAAAAGTCAGAAATGAAAGATTTTGATGTTGTTTGTAACATAGGAAGGAACATAACATGATTTCATTGAGTTAATTTTATATATCAATTTTCATCGTGATTGGTGATAGTTCTTTTCATGCTGGCCTTATTCTGGGTTGATTTACTGAAAGCTGTTTGAATATTTATTGTAATTCTGTTATTACACTCGGATGTTGATGCTCTTATTTGCTTGTTGGTTTCAATGATTTGGCATAGAGAGGAATCTTGTTCTTTTCGGTGAATTTAAGTAGTCTTGCTCTTATTGCTGGGAAATTCGCAAGTTTGCCTTTGAACTTGCGAATCAGACCTTTATTTTAGACTTTAGGTTAAGAGTGCCTTACTAACTTCTGTAGCACCGGTACTTTAGATTGAAATCGTGTTTTGTGTTCAACGCTGACACGCGTGGTTATATTCGATTTTTCATTTTCTAAATTATTATAGGCATCAACGTGTAGTGTTGTGTCAGGTGTCTAAGTTAGTGTTGTCGTTTCATTGTTACTATAAACCAGTCTATTAGTTTATGAGTTTAAGAACATCATGTTTTGGTGATTATAAATAAAAAGTGGATTATTTCTGATCTTATTTATATAGAGCTTGAAGATCAAATCTCAAACCTTGAAAGTTTCGCCTTATAGTAACCAGTGTTACCAAATATCCACCATGGCGGATATACTTGGCGGATTTTGAGCTTGCCGCAATGGTAAATATCGGCCGATGTTGTGGGGTTTTACGTCATAATCTGCAATAACGCGCCACAAAATGGCCGGAAAGGCGGGATTTTAGCTCTCTGCCATCGACAATACTGATAGTAACCAGTTAGAACTTGTAAGGGATAATATAATGGTGGAATTTTTTTCCACCTTCGCCAGATACCATTCTGATTGTTTCTATTTATTGCTAAGGATGTTGTTTTAGGAGAAATCTTCTTTTCTGTGACAAAAGTCAGTGGCATCATTTAATCCGTGTTGCCGAGATCCCATCAAGTGAAAGTAGAAGTCCTTTTGTTGTTTCTGAGAATTAGATGGCCAATCAATGATTGGTTGAGTGCTTTGAATAATGTTTGTGAGATTGGATTAGCACGGTATGATGGAAATACGAGAAAAAAACTCTATAGAAGCATTGCTATGTAAAATAAGATTATATATCTAAAACTCTTTATCCTTCTCATTTTATATGAACTGTCATGTGATTTTGTTTATGGCAGTGATTTCTCATTAGCATAGAAAATGAGTTCATTGGATGCGACTAGGGCCGAACTTGGCCTTCTTGTTTTGTATTTGAACAAAGCTGAGGCAAGGGACAAGATATGCAGAGCAATACAATATGGTTCTAAATTTTTGAGTAACGGTGAACCTGGTAAAGCGCAGAATGTAGACAAAACAACCAGCTTAGCACGAAAAGTTTTTCGTCTATTTAAGGTTAGTTTTACTTGGGATCAACCAAACATGCCAAAATCAATTCTAAGTGCTCTAGCTGTGAAACCAAACATACACGTAACTAGTTTATTTAATAATAATCACTCTTATACTACACCTCTTCAAATCGCAGTTTGTCAACGACCTGCATGCTCTGATAAGTCCAACACCACAGGGTACACCTCTCCCTCTAATTCTGTTGGGAAAGGTATGATGATAACTCCAAGAACACTATCCCCTTTTCATCTTCAATTTAGTTTCCTAATCTCTTGTCGAATGTTTTTTTTTCAGTCCAAGAATGCATTACTGTCCACTTTCTTGTTTCTCGATCAATTTGTGTGGCTTGGTAGAACCGGTATCGTTGAGGTAAGAAATAAATGTTTTCATCATCATCCTGTTGTTTGTTTCTGCTTTTATTACACGAGAATACACGACCACGGTACTTACAAGAATGTTATTGTGCAACTACAGAACAAAGAACGTACCGAACTACTCGGCCGGATTTCTCTTTTCTGTTGGATGGCTTCCTCAGTGTGTACCACCTTGGTTGAGGTTTGTGGGTTATACGTATGCGTGAACCAATCATGCCCTTTTTATTTCTTTACTTTTTTTAACCTTTGCATGAAATTTTATTCGTTGATCAGCTCGGGGAGCTTGGAAGACTCTCTGGATCCATGAAGAAGTTAGAAAAAGAAATCAAGAACAGTAATAAATATGATGTATGTTGTTGCTATGCTCGTGTTTGAACTCTTCATAGTTTCTGTCTCTGGTTTACTTCGTGATTGCGATTTCCTTACTTTAATTACTTACGGATGCAGAACGAGCAATACCAGGCCAAGCTAAAGAAGTCAAACGAGAGGACTCTAGCACTTATCAAAGCAGGCATTGATGTAGTGGTAGCTGCTGGACTACTTCAGTTGGCACCTCAGAAAATCACTCCCCGTGTTACCGGAGCATTTGGATTCGCGTCGTCTCTTATATCTTGCTATCAGGTGCTTGCTACTTGCTAGTATAACTAGATTTATTTGTTTCCTAAATTTACTTTCGCTGACAATGATCTCTGGTTGGTCTAATGCAGTTGCTTCCTCCGGCATCTGCCAAGTCAAAAACATTGTGAGCATGGAAGAAGAATCTGGCTCCCATCATGCTTCGTTGTTGTTAAATAAATGTATGAATTTGTCAGATGTTATAATTGGTATGGTTTTCAACTTAGTAGAAGCAAGACCCTGTTTGGAGTTGGTTTCAAAAACCATTTTGTTGTTTCGGATTCTGTCCTTAACACGCTATCGAATATATCATAAATACATAAATTTATCATCCTCTGAATATATGATATGATAAACTATGTTTTTAAAACTATCTAAGAATTTCTACCCCTAAAACTATATTCTAACTCGTTTGCGGGATATACTTGAAAATATCTTAGAAACTCGAAAATTTACTGATTATATCAAGCTTTGAATGTATTGGTGTTTCTTAATAGTTGAAATGAACGTTTTTTGTCGAACTTGATTGAAAATAATGAAATTTGGTGGAAAAAGATTTTTTGAGTTGAGAGAGTTTAGAGAGTTTGAGAATGAGAAGATGAAAAATGAAGAATGAGAGAGGAGAAGAGACTTTGACACGCATGTATTCTAATTTGTTCTGGAGCTACATAAATGGAAACCTTTCGTAAATGTAGCTTCAGGAAAAATCAATGTCGAGTAAAAAAATAAGGTGCATCCAGGAATACATCTTTAGAAATAGAGGGTATTTTTGGAAATGCACATGATACGTAAGAACCCCACTGGGATAAGAACATATCGGCCAATAATGCCTCTTACAGCTAAACCATACTGGACTCTAATTTTTTATACGGGAGACCTCATCTTTATGTAGTCTTCATGTATTCAGTCCCTATTCAGCTTCAACTCTTCTCTTTATGTAATCTTCATGTATTCAGCTTCAACTCTCCTCTTTATGTAGTCTTCATGTATTCAGTCCCTATTCAACTTCAACTCTCCTCTTTATGTAGTCTTCATGTATCCAGTTTCTATTCAACTTCAATTTAACATATCTCGTTCTCTTTCATCTAAAATATAAAAATAAAATAAAAAATCAAATAAAGATTAAATTACTTAAGTTTCGAAGTTCAATAAAACACATTTAAAATGTCATGATCAAGATATCATCTTCACTCCTTTTTTTATATGTGCTCTTGTAGAAATGTAAAATAAACAATAATATCCAAGTAAAAACAATCAAATAAATTAGATTTAATTATTTCCTTGGTCCTTAAAATCATTATTCAGCATAAAAATATAAAAAATAAAAAATAAAAAATTTAGACATATCAATTTATTAAAATTAAAAAAAAAAATTAAAAATTAAAAATTAAAAAAGAAAGTGGTATAGTACACTTAATTTGATGTAGAAAAATGTCAACCATCTTTAAATTGGTTCTTTTAAGTGTGCTAAATCGAAAACCTAAATGGGTGAAAAAAACACACTCGTGGATACCTAAATATAAAATATCTTATGAATAAAAAGATATATATTTATTAATAAATGACAAAATAACTTTTTTGGTCCCTTAACATTAGCTCGGGGTCCATTTTGGTCTCTTATCTTTAAAAAATGCCAAATGGGTCCTTTAACTTTTAAAATAGTGTCATTTTAGTCCTCACCATCAGTTGCCCCCAAACGTCCGTTTGTTTTGTATATCTGGAAGATGAGGTGGAAATCTTGTTCATGATGTGTCTTCCTTCTCCTTCCTCCTTCTGTTGAAATCCCTAAAATAATCTCAAATCCCAAATCCCAAATCTCAATCCCAATCATGAATCCGTAAATTAATCTATGGCAAGCATGAAATCCGGATGTTCCTCTTCTATTTCAAAAACGAAAAGTCGGGATTCAGATGTTTGTAGTCGGCCATGATGGAAGCCCATGTGCCATTGTGGAGACATGGCTGTTCTTCAAAGGGCAACTACTGTTAAGAATATGGAAAAAAAATTTGGGGTTGTCCAAATTATAAGGTATGCAAGCTGGTTTTGTTCTCTGTTGAAGTTATGTTTTTGTGTAAATTATGTTTATGTTTATGTTTTTTGATGTTTTTGTTTATTATCCATCATCCTCTAAACAATGAATCTTACAGGGAGGTATGCAAGCTGGTTGTGGCTTCTTTGATTGGTTTTATGAGGAGATGGGTGATGAGAAGGAGCAATTTTGGATCCATAGGTCGGGTGTGGTAACTAAGGGACTTGCTGAAGCAAAAAAGGACATTGAAAAAGCGACAATGGAAAATGAAGAATTTGGAAAAAAGCTGATGAAACTTGAAATTGAAATGAAGAATATCATGAAGTGGAAAAAGATTTTGAATTTGATGTTTGTGATGATTATCATTGTATTAGTTGTTAGGGGTAGTTAGGTTATTACAGTTTGTTTGGAAGTATTATGTTTAGTTAAAGTTTGTATGACTTCAACATGAATGTAATAGTTGGATTTTAATATATGGATTGTATCAGTTTAGTTAATTTCAGTTTTTGCAGTTCAACATGAATGAATATAACAGTTTTGGATTATATCATGTCAATGTGTTTTTTATATTTGGTATATAACAGTTTGGATTATGTTTGGTATATAACAGTTTGGTATATAACAGCAGCATACATATAACAGTTTGGACTGCTTTTAGGTTAAAGTGTTTTACCCAGTTTTGGTTATACATAAAACATCATACATAAAAGTTTGGATTATATGTTTGGTATATAACAGTTTTGCAGCATACATGTTTGATATAAGCAGCATACATATAACAATTCTGCTTTTAAATTGATCAAGATTCTTACACTATATACCCGTGGGGGTATATGTACTGTGAAGCTGCTTGCACTATATATCTGTGGGGGTATATGTACTGTGAAGCTGCTTGCATTATATACCCGTGGGGATATATACACTGAAGATAAAATCTGAAGCATATTTATTCTGAGCAGCATACATATAACAGTTCTGCTTTTAGGTCACAGTTTTTTATGTTTGGTATATAACAGTTTGGATTATATCACAGTTTTAGGTTCTGCTCTTTGGTATATCATAGCAGTAGAGTACAACATGTTCAAATTATAAACCTGTAATACTTTCCAAAATAACATGTTCATGACAGCAGTAAAATACAACAACTGTAGAACTTGTTCATGATAGCAGTAGAGTACAACATGTTCAGACTATAAACTTGTTCATGACAGCAGTATAGTACAACATGTTCAAATTATAACACATAAACTTGTTCATGACAACAACAGTAGAATGTAATAGACTTGTTCCAAAACGACAGCAGTACAATACATAAACTTGTTCTAGGTAACTAAACATGTTCTACAACTTAGAGTTTCTTCTTTGGCGTGGTCCTCTTTGTTGGAGTAGACCTCCTTGTTATTGGGCCAACAGCATTCTTCGCAGCACTCAACCTAGTTGTAGGACCAGGTGGCACAAAAGGTCCTGTTGGCTTCCTTACAAGGAGCTTTTGTGTCTTGCCCTTAACAACCTTTCTATTAGAAGTCTGAGATGCTTGGCAAGATTGTTGAGTAGGCTGACTTGTTGAAGTCTGGTGACTAGTTTGTTGAGCATTTTGAGATGGAGTGTGTTGACTAGTTTGTTGAGCAGTCTGAGATGGAGTGTGATTGAGTTGGGCTGATTGTTGGCTAGGTTGTTGAGTTGTTGTGTCCTTACAAGTAGATTTGTAATGTCCTGCTTTCTTACACCTACTACACTTCACCAGAAAACCTGTTCTTATCAATTTGCGAGCAGACCCATCAATTTCACCTTGTTCTAGGTTCCTCTTCTTTTTAGGTCTACCTGGCATCTTCATGAACTTGGGTGGTTGCACATCTGGGTATGGTGTCTTAACCCACAAGTTTGTTCCATTAATAGGGTAGATCACATGCTTATAAACTGCCTTGTACCTTCCTACCTTGTAATAATCTGGAATGTAAGTATCCAGCTTGAAATTCCTACTCTTCATAGCAGAATGAGCATGAACACATGGGAGCCCTGTGAGTTCCCACATTCTGCATGAACATATCTGATCTTTCAGGTTCACAACAAATTTGTCAGCTTGATTTTCTATGTGCCTTACTTCAAATATATGTTCATCAGACATCCTAAATGATTAAACAAACAAAAGTACATTAGTCACATGTATGTCATAAACAAACAAACAAAATACATTATTCACATGTTGTGACATACCTTACTAGCCAGTTGTTGGTGTATGTGCTTTTGACATCAAGTTTCTTTCTAATATTGGGAAAAATATCATTCTCATCCAAAGTTTCAAATCTCAGTCTGTTATTTGCCCATCTCTCCATCATGTATGTTATGATGTCTTCTAACATAGTGTCAAATCATCCTTTGAATTAAAGTACATTCACACATCCCACTTGTAATCTGACATGTCTTTTGGCTGTCTGAAAATTTGATGTTTTTTTCTTACAACTCCACTGCTATCATCACTGTCACAACCACTTTGCATTTCCTCATTGTCATTGTCACTTCCTTTACCATCATTTTCTCCCTTCTCTCTGTTACCATCATTTTCAAGACCAATTAGGGCATCAAGTTCATCCTCCCTAATATCATCACACCCATCAGACTCATCCTCAAAAGCAACATCTTCTGTGCTATCATAATTGTAGTCCTCATCTTCACTATCATCAGATGATAGACTTAAGTCATCATACACTGCAGCTTTGCCTTTTCCAACTCCAACATTACCTTGTTCCCCTACAACACTCCCTTTTTCAACTCCAACAGTATGATCATCCACTACAGGAACCTCATCAACTCTAACAGCAGTGGCTTCATCAACTTCTTCATATAGTTTACTAAGTAACTCCTCTACCTCATCTACAATTTCAGCAGGGTCCTCATTAACTTCATCAACAACAACATCACAATAGTCAGGTTGAAACAATGTGTGTTCAATATAAATATCAACAGTTTGGTGCACCCTATACAAATCTGCAATTTCTAAAGCACCATTGTCATCAACAAGTCGGTTCATCCCAAATTGAGGGTCATTGTAAAATATTGTTTCAAACTCCCTATAACCTAAGTCTTTTAATACACCAACTAGCTCAAAATAACTTCATCTGTCTACATCCACCCTCAAATCATCTACTACTCCATTCTCATATACATGACGACCTTCATCTGTGAACTTACCACTATGATGAATTTTCAGATTTATGTATTCATTCATGATAACTAATCATACCATGTCAGTAGTTAACGTTTAAACTAACAAATTTATATAAACCCTAAATTTGAACCTCTACCAGAAAACCCTAAATCAGAGAGAAATGAACTAACCTTTGGCTCTTGAATCATCTTCAATCCTCAATCAAAAAACCAGGTCTTCTTCTTCAATAGTCTTCTTCTTGAATGGTCTTCAATCTTCAATCGTCTTCAATCTTCAAGCGTCTGGTCTTGAATCGTTCCTCTTCTAATTGAATCGTTCCTTCAATCTTCTTGAATCGTTCCTTCCTTCTTCTTCTTGTACAAATAACGTGAGTAATGAACACCAAAAGCGTTTGCTCTTCCACTATGACACTTCACTTCACTTCCACCTCAGCACTCCACGTGGACAAACGTGGCAATTTTTTCAGAAACAAACTAACGGCAACACACGGAAGGATAAACGTGACACCATTTTAAAAGTTAAAAGACCCATTTGACATTTTTTAAAGATAAGGGACCAAAAAGGTTATTTTCCCTTAATAAATTATAAAAATTATTTAAATACTATTATTTAGTATACTCTATTTTTATCTTCTAAAAAATTAATTTTCTTTTTTTTTTCTATTTTTTTTTATAGAAAATCTTTCATATCCCAAAAATTTATATTTGATCCTCATATTTAAATTTTTTCTATACTCCAGACTTTATTTCAATAACTCCACCGTTCAACCATCAGTGTCGTCATTCCTCCGTCTAATTAATGTCTCTCTTCCTACTTCTTTATCGTCTACTCTTCTATCATAATATATTTTATTTATTTTGTTTAAAAATAAAATACATTATGTATGGATATTATATTTAGATGTTATTATATTTTAGTGAAAAAATGAAACTTAATATAATAAAATTTTGTTATTAATTTAAGAGCGAATTGTGTAAATGTTATGTGATAATAATTTTTTGTGTTTTTAAAAGAAGTTGAAAAAAATTTCAAAAAAAAATATTTAAAAAAATATTATCCATAGATTTGTAATTATCTACGGATATCTTAAAACCTGTAGATTACCCACTTATCGGATATTCGCACTAACATGGAACTGATACAAATATCATATTTATCCAACAAAACGGACACATTGTTATGATATCATATTATTCATCATACGGATATTCATGTACATCCTTACTTACGCATAATTAGGGGTGTTCGTAATGCAGTCAGGGTGGTTTTTGCGTTAAAAGTCATCCAAACTGCAAGAGAAAAACGTATGGTTCAGTTGGCTTTCTTGAAATAAAACGGAATCAAACGAAACCAAACTAATGCGGTTTTAGTTGGTTCGGTTGGTTCGACTTTTTTACAATATTCTTATTGAGTCGTGCATACACTTATAGTGATAATCATAATTTTGTGTTTAGTCATTCATACATTATCAAATAACAACAAAACTCATCATATTTGAACAACAACTCCCCTTCAATATACAAAAGTCAGATTCCACAAAAGGATAATAAAAAATATAAAATAGTAGCATAAAACAACATCAAAAATATTATAAATAGAAAAAATCAAAGAGATGAAAGATTAGAGAAGGTGAAAAAGAAAGAATAGAAGAGATGTGGGTTAGAGAAGAAAGACGCGATAAAAACGTAATTGAAAAAGAGAACAATAACATAAAAATAAAAAGATGAAAAAGAAAAAACAGACGAGAGGAGAAATTAGAGTAGAAGAGACGAGATGCACATGACAAAGAAGATGAAAAAAAAAGACACCATACTCTACGAGAGATTTGAGAGGCCTGAAACTGAAATCCTAAGTGTGAGAGAAAATTGTTCCTACTCATTAAGACACAATAGATTTTGATTTTGATTTTGATATGGGATAAGGAAAGTTTGAGTTGTAACGTAATACAGTTTGGTTTAGTTTGCAAAATATAAACCGCAAAACAAATCAAACTGCACGATTTATTTTAAAAATGACTCAAAGACATCCAAATCAAATGATATTTTTTACAATTTTGATTTAATTTAATTAATGATATTTTTTACAATTTTGATTTAATTTAATTAATTTGAGATTTTCTATTGAAGTTTTAAACACTGCAACACCCAATCAAATACCAATAGTAAAAAATATGTAAGAATCACCCAACCAAATCTTCACTTTTTTAATCAAATAAATTGGATCTAATTATTTTGTAAGTCCTTAAATTATTATTCACCATAAAAATATAAAAAAGTTTAAATAAAATATTTAAACATATCAATTTTATAAATGAAAAAAATTAAAATAAAATAAAAAAGTGGCATGGTTGATTTGATGTAGAAAAATAACAGCAAAATCCAACTATTACTAGCGTGTCTTTATTTATAAAATGTGTTGCAATTCACAATGTTTACATGAGTCTTCCATAACTTATTCAAATCGAAAAAAGTGTAACTTAGATTTTCAGTTGAGGTTATATCTTTCCTCATATTGGCCATCTCATTCTAGGCTTTACGTATAACTTGAAAGTGTTTGTCCTTGAGAGGAAATATAAATGTTTTATGAAATAAAAGTGTGTAATCTTATTTATTTTCCAAACTTAGAAAATACTAAATTTCTAAATATTGTTCTAATGAATTAATATTTTTGGCACTTGATTCATACAAAGTTTTCATTATTAAGAAAAGTAGTCTCAAAATTGAACAAAACACAATCAATCAGTTAAATAAAAATGAGCCTGACAGACCAACCCATCCTCCTCACTCTCATTATGTTTGGATGTATTGGGCATTGGGCATGACACAAGGAAACAGATTTGAGGGCTAAAATCCCAACTCGCTATAAGACGAGTTAAACTACACCGTTTGAATTTAATTTAAACAGCTTAAAATGTAATACTTGTCACACAAATTACTAGTAAAATCACACAAAAACCTCAACTTTAAAAGGTTACACAAAAGGGTATTATACATCACACTGGTTATATTACAACAACCCCGCACCCGAAGAATCTTAAATTTTCTTGTCTCTTTTATTGATTTGAGAAGGGGGGGTAGTCACAGTTTATGCCAGCAAAGATCAGAAGGCATTATCTTCATCAATATCATCAACTTCATATTCCATCTCTTCCCAACCATCCCCGGCTCCTACTTCCATTACATGTCCCCGCAATATAGTCACAATCTGTTGGAAATCTCTATCAGTTAATGCTGCTCCAGTCTCATTTTCAGATGTCACTGGGGGTTGACTGTTGTTAGTCATGTGGTCTCTCTTCAACACAAACTTCCCAGAGGGCCCAAGAATATCAACAGAAAATGCTGGTGACAACTTAATCCCTAGAGCTTGAACATGAGTAATACTGCATTCACAATTGTCGTCAAGTCAGGAACTTTACACAAATATCTACAATATGTTCTTTATAAAATTTAGAGAAAACAGCCCACTAGAATATTTATTTTACATAAATGCAACAAACAAAAGGATGAAAGGCAATAATCATTGATGACATAAAACATTATAAAGAAAACTCAAGACCGGGGGATGAGGGAAAATCTTAATTCCCAATTAAATATCTTTTGGGCAGAGAATTAGCATGCCAAATGGGGTACCATCCACCAGGGTCTAAGCATTAAACGTTAGGTGGTTGCATTAGCACAACAAGGGACCCTTACATTCGACGTAAAGGGTGTCGGATCATTAATACAAGGCTAAAACATAATGCAGATAAAACAAAAGCTAAGCAAAAATTGTAATCTTTTGCTGCACGATAGGAATAACTGAATTTGCCCTGTGAGAGACAAAGGGATTTGCCCTCAATTGGCAACAGCATAGGAAATTTCAGGGAGTGTAATAATGGTAATATGCTGCAAGGCTCCAACCAAATATTTGTACATGGAGAGGTCTCCTGCAGTGTATCAGACCCAGTCTTGGACACCTTACAACTAGATATCGTGGGAAAGGAAATGGGATTGGACTCTAACATATCGGTTTTGGAGAACAAGTCACAAATGTACTTGCTTTATGTGAGCAGCAGAGAGCCATCATGCTGCTTCTTGACTTAAATGCCCAAGAAATAGTAAAGTTCACCTAATTGTTCAAGGTGAAAGAAGAATTGAGCTTCAGAAGTAGGGAATGGATCAGCATTGTGGCAATGCAAGTGGTGATAATATCCTCCATATAAACCAGCATATAGACCACTCAACAATGAAGGTTGCAGCTAAACCAGCAAATAGACTACTTCACAATGAAGGTTGTGGGTAAACAAGGAAGGATAGCACTTGTTGTCCTTGAAACCCAGTTGCAGAAGGGTGTGTTTAAGCCTCAAAAACCATCTAGGCATTTGGTTTAAACTATAAAAAGCTTTATGCAGCTTGCAAACCAGAGAGGAATCATCACTTTCAAAATCTTGAGGTTGCAATATGTAGAAAATGTCGTATTAAAATCAAAGCCATGGATGGACCTGATGAAAACCTTGGCCACTAGACCGGTCTCTAACCTATTTGCTGACCCATCCGGATTCTATTTAATGAGAAACACCCATCTGCAGACAACTGATTTTCTGTTGAGAGGAAAAGCAGCAACAGACCAAGTATTGTTGGACTATAATGTATCAAATTCCGCCTTCATGGCCGGGTCAAGGAGGGCTAGCTTAACATTTCTTGGTTCAATGCAAGTGAGAAGTAGAGGGATGAATACAGGAAAAGACAATGCAAAATTTGGCATGAGTTTGCATGGGAAGGGAACTAATAGGTCTATGATGGGCAGAAACAGGGGAATTAGAGAAAGGTTACTGGAACTTGGAGAGGTGCTAGGATTTAGAAGAGAAGAGGAAATAGAAATATGAGAAGGAGTGGGGTTGGTAAGCTGAGTAAAGGGGACTGCAGATGCAGAAGATTGGCCAGAACCAGAGGGAGTTGATTGGGAAAGGATTGGATAGAATAACAAGGATTGGAGGTAGAATATCCTAAGATAGGGAATTCATGCGACTTAAATCCAGTTTGTGAGGGTTGTAAGGCCTAAGTAAGGGAAACTAAACACACCAAAAACTTTAAGGAATTAATAATCTGGTGACTGGTTAAGCAAGACAGTATTTGAAAAAATTAAGAGAGGAATTATGTAATCTATTAATGAAGTATACTGCAGTAACAGTAAGATATACTCGTCCCAGTCTGATAAAGGGAGGGAGGCATGAGTGACTGAACAGAGCAAGTCCTAATGCAATAATGCCCCTGTTTTGATATATAACTTATTTTCCTTTTATAATATAATCGCTCGTGATAAGCCCTTGTGTATAAGCTATTTTTATAGAAAAAAATAAAATAGAAGTTAAATTGTTTTTCGCATAAGCTATCTTGGAGAACGGAATCACTTATGCAAAATAAACTGAAAAACAACTTATAAGCATCCCATAAGTTGTTTTCATAAGTTCTTCCAAATACTCTTAAAATTTATGTTAGTAGATAAACTCAAATAACTCAATCCAAACAGGCTCGATATGTCTATGTTTACAGGCACAATATGTCTATGTTTACGCTCCACAGTATAACTTTGGTTAAGATTGTGGGGGCATAAAGTCTATGGATGATACCTATGTCAGTGAGAAATTTAGTAAATGGCCTAAACTAATCCCCCAATATTTTTGGAGAGCTTTGAGAGGGTGACCAAATTGTATCTCAGCCATGGTTTTAATTGTTTGAAAACAATAAATATAGAAGGACTTCATAAGTTTCATGTGATTTAAGAATACGATGGTTGGCATGAAAGTCAAAGTAAACAGTTATTCCTAGCAAATTGGCCAACGCTGATAAGGGTTTTGGTTATAGATGGAACATACAGGAGATTATGACGAACAAGAGAAATTTGTGGTCTGAAAGGTGATGGAAAAGAGCTTGAACTAGAAAAAACAAGTGTGCAATCTTTGATTGTGTTCTGTGAAGATCTGATTAGTACCTTCAAAAGGATGATCTAGAATCAAGAAACCAGGAGCCAGAAGTCGATTGAGAAGTGTTGGTGACCATAGCATTGGGATGTGAGAATAAAGTAAGACGTGGTTGTGGTTGGGACTATGGATGAATCCAAGTATTGTTGTGGCCAAAAGGAGAGAAACCTAATGGTGTTGGAGTGAATCCAAGGAAACCATAGGCGAGGGAGAGAGGAGTCCAAAAAACCTTAAAATATGATGGAATTGGAAAACGAGCCAACAAATGCTTTGACAGGAAGATGTTCACAACCAATGTGATCTTCGAGGGGGGTAGCACATAACTCCATGCAAAGTTGAAAAGATTTTGTGTGTGCTTCTGAAAATAGGCAAATATTTTCTCTATAATTTCATAAGCATGAATAGAGCATAGAATATGTGCGGCAAAATTTTGCTAGAAGTTGAAGAGATTGTATCCATGAAAGTAACATTTGACCTTGATGCTTCTAAATGTGAAAAGTGTGATTCATTGCACTTGTAAGACAATCATTTTCAGTAAGGTACTGTGGAGGAATCGAAGAACAAAATAGAAGATCATCAACTTTGTGGCATCATCATCAACAACAACAACCAAGCCTTATCACACTAAGTGGGATCGGCTACATGGATCAAATTCCGCCATAATGTGTTCTATCCAAAACCATATTTCTATCCAATTTGTTAATCTTGAGATCTTTCATAATAGTTTCTCTAATAGTTTTTTTAGGTCTTCTTCTACCTCTAGTTGTTTGTCTACTCTCCATCTAATCTACTCTCCTTAAAACAGAATCTACTTGTCTTCTCTCTACATGCTCAAACCACCTAAGTATATTTTCCACCATCTTTTCTACTTTAGATGCTACCCGAACACTCTATTTAATATTGTCATTTCTAATTTTATCTCGTCTAGTCTTACCACACATCCAACTCAACATCCTCATCTCTGTTACACTTACTTTATTCACGTGTTGACTTTTAACCATTCAACATTATGTCTCGTACAACATCGCAGATTTTACAAATGTTCGATAACTATTCGATAAAAAATTTCCTTCAGCTAGAGCGGTACTTGTATCACATAAAATCCGCGTTGCCCTCATTCATTTCAACCACCCAACTTGAATTCAACGGTTTACATCCCTTTCTATTTCTCCATCGTAAGGTCGCTATGAAAATTCTTGTTCAACTTTTCAGAGATTTTGTGGGAAAATGTGAGATGAGGCGATTGCGATAAAGAACCATTCTCAAGAAACAATTTGAGTGATGGAAAACAAACATGAGTTACCATCAAGAACCATCCTCAAGAAACAAATTGAGCAATGGAAAACGAACATGAGTTACCATCGTGTGCAATAGTGGAGGCGGCGGAGCATGATGCGTTTTTGAAGTTGGAGTATAAGATGAAAGAAAGAAGAGAGAAAGTAGTTTCAAAATTCCATTTTTATTGAAATGATTTTGATTAGTGTTGCAAGAGGCGCCAATAGCTTTATAAACTTGTACCTAATCCTTCACTAACTAACAATGACTTAACCTGCACTATGAAAGTGGATCCCATAGCCAGTTTTAGGTTGACTTTGCTACTTCATTTCAGCATGTCTAGGTTTTGCAGTATTTGGCAGTTACATGTCTCCATTGTGTTCGGAGAAAATAATATATTTAGCCCTCTTTTAAAATTTATGCTATTTGAAATACACATCCGTATGTTGAGTTTAAGCTTGAGAAGATCAATAAACCACTCAATGCCAGTATGGTTTTAGGTGAAGTAATCATGCTCAAAACCTGACTTGATTGCATCCAATGCCTTATAAGTATAAAAAAAAACCAAGGAATCTAAATTCTGTTTTAATTCCTAAAATTGCCAAAAGGATTAGCCTCAAAATAGAGGGGACAATTGGTATGACTGCTAACACTTTTCAGCAGTACTCAAGTTAACATTATTTATGCACATGATAAGATAAAATTGGAGTTAAAACCAAGCAGTGCATAAGGATTATTGTGAATTTATTAAGGGTGCTACGGCTACTCTGCCAACAAATCTAATAAAACATCCACACACAAGTTTGCTAATGAAGAAACGCACCAAATGTATAGTAAGCCATCCATTTCTTGGCTCTGCACCCTTTCCAAAAGCTCAATCTGCAAGATACCACCAATACATAGAACAGGTTCTGGAAGCTTGAACTTCTGTAGCCGGTTTTCCTGTTCACAAGGAATTGTTTTCAGAAAACAGTTCCCGTTGTTAAAAACACGAGCATAGGGTTACTCAAGCAAAATAATTTGAACATTGAAGTTATTATTCTGTCGTGCAGCTTTTGTTTTACTTTTCAAGGTCAAGCTAGGTCATTATAGTACTTTGGAGATTAATACATTTTCTGATCATCCAACAAATTTCTTTTTCAATTCACTTACAATATTTATTCGATGAAATACAGGAAATGAAAACAAGCTAAGATATAAGAAGTTACAAACCTGAGCCATTGGAAACTCTGGTGATGTATAGGTCCAAACAAACACATCACTTAAATCATCTAAAGAGGCTTTAAGATGACCCATTTTAAACCTAACAGATTTTGCTGAATATATTGGTGACCCCATCTGAAAGTGAGCTGGTCAGTTAACAAAAAAATTGTTAGCAAAAAAACATAGAAATGTAAAATAAATGGGTCAAGCATATAGTTTATGAAGATTTCAAACATCACCTTGGAAAGGCTGAATATTAATTTCTGTAATAACACATATTTGAGAAGCTAACTGGTATGTTAATGTCTCAGGCACATTGGGATTGCTTTGTCCGCTACTCGACCAATAGGAAAATCTACCAGAAATGTTGTCTCTTTCATCTAGAGTATTATCAATACTCTCCTGAGGGAAATTATCAGTGCTAGAAGCACTGATTGCCGTAGCTATGCAATCTGTAGCAACAGGTGATAAGCAGGATCTAGCAAGATAACTATAGACTCTATGATCTTTCCATAGAGCTAGACATTCATTAGAATGGCTAGATCCAACCTCTGTGTGTTCCTTCACTCCGTCCTGGTTTAGTTCAACAACACAGGCAACTCTAGATAATTGAGGAAACATTCTCAAGCACAACTGCTTAGAAAGGCCGTTTGCAACCACTGCAAAAACCAGATCAGTTAATCGTTGCAATAAACATTTTCAATTGAAACTTGCATCTGCTGAGAATGAGAAATCCAGTTGTGACCGCATTACACACTGGTAATGAACTTGTTTATTTCATTTGATAGGTGCGCTTTCTTAAAGGAAACAAATTAAAAATAAATAAAAAAAAAGTAAAAATGCAGAATGTAGAAGAAAACAAGGCCAACGCAATCCACCTTCCAATCCCAATGCATAAGGAACAAAGATTGCTAAAGTAATACATCAAAGGGGAGCCAATACTGGATCCTATCCCATATCATGATCAAAGAAATTTTTTTATACTAGCCATAGTGGGCTTGTGGAGATATTAAATTTCATTAAGCACGGGTATGTCACATATTTATATTTATTCTTGTCAAACAGTGGCCTTATTGTCACTATGATATGTACATATTTTCATCATACACAATGATTAGTGCTTAAAATTAGCCTGTTTCCGGTCAAACTCAACTATGCTAACACACAATTCATTTTTTTCTTCTTTTTTTCAGAGTAGGCACTTAATTTTAGAGGCGAGAGTATCTTTAGAACAAAAAAGTGTTCTACAGTTGTTGTTTCATTTAAGAATTTCTAATAATGATGACATATAAGTGAGGGTAATGGAGTTAATTGCAAACTAGCAATTTAATATAAAACATTGGCAAGCAATATTAACGCAATCTTGACAATAAAGTCTATGACACACTGGTATACGTTGGCTGATAAGCATGAGAGTAGCATCCATTAACATCTAAAACATCACCCTGTAATTGCACAGCACTAGAAAAAAAGACCTCTTCAGAGAATGCGCAAATATGATGAACTAAAATGATAAGAAACAAATTCCACACTTTATTCAATCTGAATTTAATCTTTAAGTTGTAAACATGCGAGCAGTACGAGGTTGGACACTCAAAATATAGCAAAGAGCACAATTCTAAAAGGACAAACAGATCAGAAACAAAATGAAAAATGTAAACCACGTAGAACCTAAACTTAAATTTCTCGTGAGCCTGAGGCATAATAAAATAAAAATAAAAATAAAATACAACTATAACTCACCAAAGCCTCTCCAAGATCGTGACACGCAGCTGACACGGACTAGATCTGCTGGATCATCTAGACACTTGAAAATTTTGAGAGACGTATCAGGGTCAACCCAGCTGAGAAAATCTTTACCGTGGTTCATCATGGGCATGGAAGTTGGTGAATAAACCAAACTAAGTTATCTTCTCAAACCTGAAAAACATAATTGAATCAAAAGGAGAATTGCAACAGTTAGCAATGTCAACTTCAAAGTGTAGCAGAATATCCAAATATATATAAAAAATAAAAAATAAAGAATAAAAAAAATCTTATTTTCACAACATTTTGTTAATTGGTCTATGGTTCTTGTTCATGAATATTGCAATTTGCAACAAGAACTGAAACAAACAGTTCATGCCTCAAAAAAGAGGATATTTTTACTTCTTTCTTTTCTCATTCCTGAAATATATAATATCAAACTAAGAGGGTTACAGAAATTGAGGTAAGAAAAACCACCAATCAGGTTAATGATTAATCATATCACAGCACGAATAAATAATGATGGAAAATATTACAAGGGTGCGAAAGCCAATTACTTTGATCACCTCAAACATGATAAACCTAGAAAACAACCAAACAAATTCAAAAGTTAATTAGAAAAAAACGCGAAAATCAAAGGAATTGAGAAATATGTCATGAAATTCAAGGAATTTTGGGTAAACAAATCAACACGAAAAGGTTAATTTAAAAAATGGAATTCAGAGGCAAAAATTCTGAAGAAAAAAATTTGAAGGCAAATGGTAAAAAGGTGCACGGCGTTAAGGAAAAAGTGGGGAGAAAATCGGGAGAAAAAATCACCTGATGAGTAGAGGAAGACACGCGCATAGAAGGAGCGAAACCTAGAAGTAAAGGGGAAGAAAATTGCAGAGAGAGAGAGAGAGAGAGAGAGAGAGAGAGAGAGAGAGGGTAATTTGGTTACTAATATTTGAATGTAAATAAAGAAGAAGAAGATGGTAGTGCAAAGAGTGGATAGGAACGCGTAGAAACAGACGAAATTAATAATAATATTTCAATTAAAATATGTTTAAATATCTTTTGGAAACAACTCTGCGCTTATAGGGGATGTTTTTTTGTTTATTTAAAAAAAAAAATGTTTTTATAAAATTTAATTGGAATAGACTAAGAGTATTTTATAATATCCTTTAATAATAGACGCATATAAAATAATGCAAATAGATGATGGTAATGAATTAGTGGTGTAAAAATTTTTACATTAACTATTTATAGTAATTAATCTCTTTCCTTTAATATATAAATTTTAATTTTAATTGTTTACAAAATTTTGATCTTCAAATTTCTTTTTACTTATTTTAATTTCATTTTTTAATAAATATTCACTTTGCATTTTAAAGTGATTTTCTATAAATGAAGGCGAACTAAAAGTTTTCTCCTCTAGGCTCTCCTCTGACCACGAGTGGCGTACTCTGATATGAGTAGATCAGATCAAAGTACCGCGCCAATGTCGTTTAAGACAGTTGAGTTTGATAGACTCTGTACGGGAAGAAGGGCGGGGACACTCATAAAATTCTTCTTATTAATCACAGGTATGAGTTTTAGGGCGACGGGCCTTCAGACTAGAGCTATTCTCACTAAACCGAAAATTCTAATATATCCCTCTCTCCTCAATGGCTAAATACCAAAGCTAACCTTAAATGGGTTAAAGACCGAGCCAGTCATTCTCAAACTCCTAGAAAATGTCATTCCATCGGGTTACCGCGCACACAAAAATAATTCACATTTGTCGTCATTTCAAATATAACCTTCACGGGTCCCCTCAACATCCTTAACGGCCTGGTTCATTAAGATGTTGAACTGAGACTTCTATGGACAAGCTACGCGACAGAGGCCTAATCTGTTCCCAGGCAGGAACTGCTCCTTTCCTTGAGCTCCCTATTTAGTTCCTCCCATCCCAGCCAGGCATTGATCTCGCAATGACCCTCCAGCATGTCCTCATATCGCGTCCGTCACCACAGCAGCGCATCCCTAGAGAGATACTAGCCATTGTGACTTGGTCGTAAAAAGGGGCACAAACAGAAAGTACTATTCCATATCCCAAAAGTTAGTCTTCGATCCTTAGCATATGGGTGCCAACGAATGCCTTTGGTTTCGCTTGATTCGAACCATCTCCGCCGAGCCACTGAGTGATTGATAAAGCTAAAGTATTATTAGGTTAATGTCTTTTTTACTAATTTATCTACAATTTTAAATTAAATATTAATTTGTTAAACTAAAATTAAATAGTTAAGATTCATGTTAGTAATATTTTAAAATCTCAATATTCACATATCATCTAAATATTTATTTGGAATGTGTGCGAGTAATTTTGTATTAAAAAAATAAGATTAAGGTTGTAATAATCAAAGCTTGAAAAAAAAGTTTGTGATTTTCTTCACCGTTAACCAGGGTTTTTAAATATCTTGGTTTTCTGGTGGCGGCGAACCCTCAGTTGTCTAGTACGTGGGAATCTTTGGTAAGTTTCATTACTAGCCAGTTTCGTTCATGGAGACATGGGTATGTCTAAGGTAAGGGTATTTCTCTAGACTAATTATAACGAAACTAATAGTTAAATATTATAGAACAAAACCATATAACACATAATTGTTATGAAGAGTGAGTTGATATATAATTATATTTGATATAAATACTAGTTCTATATATTGTGTTTTTTTGGTATGAGTATATGATGTGGATGAATATTTATTTTGTTTGGGGTTGTTATTATTATGTGTGGTTGTGATGTGAATCGATTACGATTTGAGATGGATGATTATGTGAAATAAATTTTAAGATAATGTACTTTATGATGTGATAATATATGGTTGTATGATTGCCTAAGTGACGAGATTTGCATTTGCATCATTATGATGTGGCATGTGCATTTTTGTGTAGTACCTTAGTGGCAGACTGATTATATCCAGGTCATTTAGATTTATGAGCATGCATATTCACACAAAGATATTTTTGAAATAAGGATTAAGTGTTGTATGATTTATTTTATAATACCGTATTGTAGGTGTTGTTTGATTTGATATGGATGCTGAAAATTTAACCCTTTACAATCAACATTTTAGGTACCAATGAATTTGAAAATGTGAAGTAAAAGTGATGTGATGTTTGACGTGATTACGGAGAGAAAATTGGATTTTACCAAACTTATTTGTTTACTTTAAATTACATATCTTTCTAAACTTGTAATCATAATATTATCTTAAAAATAAACTATATCATTTTTACGTAAACTAGCGTCTAGACGGGCGTGCCCGTCTGTCAGTTTTTTAATGCGCATGAATGAAAATATAAATGATATTTTTTGTTTAAATAAAGACTTTAAAAAATACAAATGTGGAAGTTAATAATAGGAAGTTATGTGAAAGTTAATAATAAAAAGTTATTAAGTAAATTACATAATAAAGTAAGGGTAAAAATGGTAGAAAAATAAGCTACACCAAAACAAAGTGTTCTCTTTATATATTGTATAGATATAGTTTTTCAAGTATTGTCTTTGATCAAAATTTGAGGCGTTGTAACATGGTATTAGAGCAATAATCTTCGGACAAATGTTTTTTGGGTTGGGACGAGTTTGTGTGACGTTTTCTTTGAGTCAGGTCTGAATGTTTTGATTTCCTTGTTGTTGGACGTGTTAATTTTTATTCTTATTACTATAGTGATCGAAAGTTATTTGTACTAATAATATGCATTAGTTTTGTATTTTTGTGATCTATGTACTTTTTCATGAGTTTGTGTTTTACGGTTGTAGAATATAAGGAGTGTATTTGTCTATTTATTTTAATATCTGTAGAGTTTGTGATTTTTGTGTATTGATTATTATGATGGATGGTCCTATTTTTTTTATTGTTTACATTCATTCGAAAATTGTAACTCGTATTTTCACAATGGTATTTAGTACACCCTCTAATCACTATTAAAAGCAAAAAAAAATGTTTTCACGGTGATTAAGAAATTTAATTAAATGTGGTTAATTTTTTATATTTTGTTCAAAACATTGATTAAATTTACTAGAATGTCCTTTTTATGATTCATTGTTGGTAAACATATACACACGCGTTTTATTGGAAAATACTGCATTCAATCTTTCCAATTCATGTACTGTACGCACTTACCCATAAAAAAGACTCACCTTCTAATTTTTATTATGTACATAAGCGCCATAAAATATTTTAATTTTTCCGCCAAAGTTACATGTATTCACCTTTTTTAATTCCGCCAAAGTTATTCAACTTTTCAATTACTACTGTATGCATATATCCATAAAAATCTCAGGTTCTAGTTTTCATTCTGCATATTGTAGCAACATAAAAAAGCTCGTGTTCTAGTTTTCATTTTGAATATGTAATTCTTCACTATGACTTTGAATTTTAACTTGAATGAACCTTATAATGATTCTGATGCAATTGTTGCTGACGAGTTGGTAAACGAAAATAGAGTTACATTACCCATCGATTTAAATTTGCAACCTCACAGTTATTCTGATGTAGTTGTTGTTGTCGTCACCGATGAATCATCAGTAAATGAAAGCAAAACTTCATTATCCATTGACTTTAACGTGCAACCTTCCAATGAAAAATGCATTTTCGATATGAATGATTTTACTCCATTTGAAGATGGCTCTGCAAATGAGGTTGAAGATGTCATTGATAGGAATGAAATTGATGGTGGAAGTAAGTTAGTTTCAATGAATATGACACATGACTCTTTGTATTTAAAGCTATCCAAAATAGTATTTTTTATAAACATTTCAGGGAACCAAGATGATACAAATGGTATAGGCAGGGTCGACCCAAGGGTAAGGCGATCAACACAAGGGCTTTAGACCTCAAGATTTTTGGCTACAAAAAGGTCTCAATTTTTTTAATTTGGTCATAAATACTTCAAATGGCATATTTCTTACATAAAATCTCATTGTTGAGTTGGTAGAAGAGAGACTTCGTATTTTATAGGCCTTTGGTTCATCTCTTGTTAAGTACTAAATTTAATTTAATTTATTTATTTTGAAGGCCTTATTTTAAAAATTTATTTAGGCCTTTAAGCGGGTTGGGTCGGTTCTAGGTATACGCGACTTATTAAGTGAAGAAATGAAGATGTGAGTTATTT